TTATGATTACTGAATTTTTCACTACATTGAAACTACACATTATGAGTAACAAAAACTGACTGCCTGAAACATTTGCTCTGGTCTGTTGTAAAGATCAATGTTAAAGGCCCCTGGATTATTAACTGGTACAAAATGTAAAGCTGATTAACAGAAACGCAAGACCCAAGTTAAAAAAAAAAAGAATCAAAGACAGGATAATTAAGTGAATCTTAAAATTTGTATAATTATTACTATCATATCAAAATATAGAGAAATAAATTTACCCACCGTTCTATGATTCATGATAAAACATCCACAGTCTAAATGTGATTTTTTTTTTTACAAATGTTAAGCCTACTATTAGTATTATATTATGAATACATTAGTCACTTGCAATGGCAATAAAGTTTTCAAGAAAGCTTAGAATGGAGTGTTGACCTTGAATATATCAATGTTTTCATTAAAATAAAGTTTGTCGAAGCATACACTGTAAAATAATATAAAAAGAAAACCCCTTTTTCTTTATAATCTAAGTTAAGTATTTTTATATTTCTTATAATGACGTTGTAGTCATTGGCTTCTAACTTCTAGTTAGACCAGTTTACTATTAGTAGTAGTAAATAAAAAATAATAATCTCGAGACAAAAAAATTGAAACTCTTGTTAGTATCATTATCCTACCATCATTGCATTAACCCTAACAATTTAGTTTATAGACAACATTAAATGACTACAACTTACAGTTGACTTGCTTACTTAACATCATTACTGATTGAAACAAATCAACGCTGGGTGGCGTTGCTTGAAAGAGTAAATTATAATTATTGTGGATTCTTAAAAAGCAAGGTTTAAATGAAACATTTTCAAAACTTCACAAGAAATAGATCATTCCTGTGAATTTGTGTTTATGAGATTAGACTTGAGTATTATTACTATTAGACATAATAAGGCCCACGTTTTAAGTTGGATTTCTTAAAAACGTATTACTTTATAATTATGAATACGAAATAGCTAATTTAGATTTTTTAATAATATAACATGTCTGGATGTATAGGGGGATTGGAACTAAACCGGCCATAAAGGTTTTTCTGTAGCCTTTTTCTTCAACAGTTTCGGGTGGTATGAAAAAAGTTTGATGTTCTGTAAACTACTTAGTTAAGTAAATGAGTTCTATTAGTTCTCCTTCACCTTCTTCGACATTTTTCCGAAACTTAAAGAGTTTGATTTAAGAAATATCCTACATGGGACATAATAGCCCATAACCTCATTGTTGCTTCCAGAGTTTGTGAATTTGTTTTCGGATATTCGTGCAAAGCTGTTCAAGAGCTATCTGCGCTAGCCAGCCGTTCATATTTTTGAACTGATAGACTAAAGGGAAGACAGTTAGTCAACAGCACCCGCCGCCAATTCGTGACCCACTATTGTCTAACTGAATAGTAGGATTTGACTGCCCCCCCTCCTCTCTTATAATACATCAACGTTTCCAAAATACAGAGTGTGTTTTTTTTTTAGAGGGGGGAGAGCAACGGTAACGAAACGGAAACAGTCAACCCACAGATCCATAATCAGACTGCTAATTATTGGGCCACGCCATGCTCGAGTTTGTGAGATTAATATATCTGAAAAGGTGTTGATCACTTGAAACTTTACATTTAAAGCTCTGAATTTTGAAACTGACGAACACGGCTCGAAATTGTGAGATACCGCAAAATATGCTCCTATTTTAAGCTTTAGATGTGTTATAAAAGTTACAGTCAATCCTCAGCTTGGAAGGTGGGTGGTAAGGTACTGCTGACTGGTGAATAATTTAAAATTAGGGACACTGGCAGATAGCTTTGTCATAAATACAAATAAAATATAATGCATTACTTGAAGTTTTGGCCATTCGCACCATTTGATATCACACTTTTGATATTAGCCAAATATGATTCCAAAAATCTGAACAATGTGATCGCTGTTATTCCCTGTTAGCTGTCCATCTTGCAAATCCAGTGTAATTAAGGATGGACCATTTTATCATGTGTAAGCCATGTAAAGCATAAACGTGTTCTTAAATAATGTCATGTTTCTGTTCTGCTCGCGCAAGGCCTATCCTGACTCCGCCATATGATGTTTGATAAGCGCAAGGCCTATCCTGACTCCGCCATATGATGTTTGATAAGCGCAAGGCCTATCCTGACTCCGCCATATGATAACATATTACTATATAATATACACTGGGTGTATTTTTGCTAACCACCAAAATGCATGCTTGCTTGCTAAACACTTTTACACACCCAACCCCCACACCCTACCTCAATGGATGGACGAATCTCTAAAATATTTGACACTGCGCCTTCAGGGAATATCCCATATTTGTGTTTGTGCGTGTGTGTGTGTGTGTAAAAGATGTGATGTTGATTAGTTAACATACTAGGGACTGCACTACAGACAGACACACACACAGGACAACAAGCTTAACCATCATATGTTATTCCAAGAGAGAGAGGGAGAGAGAAAACTTAAACAGAAAATCGTGAGTTCTTTTGGGAAAGAACCTCACCATTTTTTAAGATATTCACGAATCATAGGTATTGGTGGTTATGTCTACAGAGTTTCCATTTCATGACCAACCCAACTATACCTAAAGGAATTCCCTCTGTGATGCAAACCTTGAGAGTAGAAGATGACGACAAATCGAGCCATCTGACATGAACTTCAACTCACGTTTTTTTTAACAATTGTAACGAACTGTGTTTGTATTTCATGAACTTTTTGATAAAATGGAAATTCCCCAACACTTATCTAAGCTGTGAATACGATTGATAATTCAAGGGTCTTAGCCGGTATTTGAGGAATTCCGGAACTTGATGACATCAGAGATGGCATAGAAGATGCCAAAATCATAGATAACTAATAAAAAAAAGTTATAATTATAATTGAGCTGTAAAGAGCATCTACTTGACTAAATGTTCTACAGAGAATGTGTATATAATGTATTGTGTTTTAAGTTCAATACAATTACTCTTGTTTCAGTGAAACTTTGGGCAGAGTACATGTTTGTTTGTTTGTTTTTGAATTTCGCGCAAAGCTACACGAGGTCTATCTGCGCTAGCCGTCCCTAATTTAGCGGTGTAAGACTAGAGGGAAGGCAGCTAGTCATCACCACCCACCGCCAACTCTTGGGCTGCTCCTTTACCAACGAATAGTTGGATTGACCGTCACGTTATAACTCTCCCACGGCTGAAAGGGCGAGCATGTTTGGTGTGACGGGGATTCGAACCCGCGACCCTCAAATTGCGAGTCGAGCGCCCTAACCACCTGGTCATGCGGGGCCCTTTTTTTAGAGCAAAGCCACATTGGGTATCTGCCGTATTCACCGCGGGAAATCGAACCCCGGATTCTAGCACTGTAAACTTACCGCTGTCTCACTTGGGGGGGAGGGGGGCTCTTTTTCTCCCAACAGGCAATTGTAATCCATTAAAGTTCTCAACACATACCACCGTTATTCTTCATTTATTGCATCTTAAGCAAACAAATTATAGATAAATAAACAAGTATAATTTGTTTAGTAAATAAAAAGTAAGCTTGTAATATAACGATATCTTTGGATGAAATAAATCCATCAACATAGTTTTGGTTTTATTACACTGGAGTCCAAGCTGCGGCATTATTAAAAAAAAAAATTCTTCGTGAGTAAACAAACAATAGAAACGTTTAATGTGTTACACCATGTTTATCCAGAGGGAGATGTTAAGACACAAAATGGTGCAGCAATCTGTCATCGTTGATGAAAATTATCTCACAAGCTCCATCAATAACGCGTGTGTCGTCGATACTGTAGGTGTACGCCCACGATCGATTCCTTCTAGTTGTTTGTAGTTGTAATTTGATTTAGAGATTATCACAATATGTGTGAGCCCGAGCAATTACTGACGAAATCTCCTACAGGAGAGACACATGCGCATTAAAAATTATACCATATTCGCCTAAACTGTCCACAAAGAAGGGTAATTTCTAGGAGTATTGGCAATAAAATATAGAATTATGTACCCACCATGTTAGGGTTAAGTGAAACGATATAATGTGCATAATGTTATTAAACAAAAATATCATACTTTTGTCACGAGTTCTTTCGGATTTCGGATCCACAATTACCTAGTCCACATCCTTCATTGTAATTAGCACGTGCGATGAGAATCAGTTACTTTCGTCGCGTGATTCCCTTTTATTCGATACGAAGACCTCGTGAGAGGTGATTAAATCGACAACAATAAGTTATTGTAAATAGGTATGTTTATTTTTGGATTCCTACAATGTTCCCCAAAGATGTCATCTTCGAGTTGCGTTTAATCAACAGAAGATTTCTGAATTTTTGCGGACAACCTACACAAAGAGCTATCTACGCCGCAGATTTCGAACAATACTCGCCGTCATCTCTTGAGCTATTCTTGTCTGACCAACTAGTGTAATTTGACCGTCACTCTTATAATGCACTCGAAGCTCCTACGTCCGAAGCGCGTTTTTCTGGCAATGGGTCGAAGAACACGAACCACCATATTCATAGTACGGACACGCTATCTACTAGGCCACGCCCGACTCCACTTAAATTGGAGCTAAGCCAGTCACTCTTGCTAAGAATATATGTGCCAATCAAGTTCACCACAGAGACCAACCAATGAGATAATAGCGTGGTTTTTACAACGTCATCAAATAGTGTACTTTCCCGCAATGTGGGAAATTTAAACATCTGAAAGCATTTGTTTTATTTTTTTATGTATACATCAATTCGTTGAAACCCTTAATGATAGCTAAATACGTCAGGCTTACGTGCACGAAACACCTACTCTCGTTATCTCAACCAATTAGAAGTACATCATATAAGAACGAAGCTCTTCCGGTTCAAGAGTATTTAATAAGTTGTTGAAGCCGGCCAGGTCAGTATTTTGAAACACACGGTTAAATTTGTTGATTAACAGTTTTCCCCTACCTAGTCGTATTTGTTTACAGACGCCTTTGGCAACCGATACTTTATAAAAACGATAGTCTGGAGAAGAAGTACACCTGGATGGATACAGTGTTGTTTTTTGCTCGCTTTACAACAGTGCATTATCATTGTAGACATAAAGGACAGAGAAATCAGCACTGTGCTAAAAGTAGGTGGCGTTATAGTTTTTGCTAGGCATAAATAAAAAAAACTTACAAATTACTAGAAACTTTCTTACGTGAAAAGACTTTGTAACTTATACTAAAAACTTATTTTTGCAATAAGAAGGAAGATACAGTCCTGAGTTTTAGACAAATAGCGGTTTTGGATTGCGATGCCTGTAGTAACATCTAATGTTTTTGCACTTTGCAAGTTGTTTCTTTCTTTGTCAGCTCATTACGTTTAAAATCACACCCTTCAGGTTAATTACACAGATTTGTCTGACTAAAATGATATCTTTTAGGTTGAATATATAGGTTTGTCTGACTACAATATTTCAGGTTGATTAATTCCATAATTAGAGACTTGTCTGATTAAAAACGACATAATTCAGGTTGATTAATTCTATAATTTAGAGACTTGTCTGATTAAAAACGACATATTTCAGGTTGATTAATTCTATAATTAGAGATTTGTCTGATTAAAACGACATATTTCAGGTTGATTAATTCTATAAGTTAGAGATTTGTCTGACTACAGTATTTCAGGTTGATTAATTCTATAATTTAGAGATTTGTCTGATTAAAAACGATATATTTCAGGTTGGTTAATTCCATAATTAGAGATTTGTCTGATTAAAAACGACATATTTCAGGTTGATTAATTCTATAATTTAGAGATTTGTCTGATTAAAAACGACATATTTAAGGTTGATTAATTCCATAATTAGAGACTTGTCTGATTAAAAACGATATATTTCAGGTTGATTAATTCTATAATTTAGAGATTTGTTTGATTAAAAACGATATATTTCAGGTTGATTAATTCCATAATTAGAGATTTGTCTGATTAAAAACGACATATTTCATGTTGATTAATTCCATAATTTAAAGATTTGTCTGATTAAAAACGATATATTTCAGGTTGATTAATTCTATAAGTTAGAGACTTGTCTGATTCAAGTTATATCTCCCAGGTTTTCCCTCGGAGTTCATGATACTTGTCTTAACCATCTTGCCCACTATTGCGATGAGCGCACCTGTAGCGACACAAGAACCGCATTGGATAAACCCGTGTGACCTTCCAGATCCCTTTGAGGATTTTAATAATCCACCACCAATACCTCCTCGTGAACTGTTGAAGCAAGTGGTCGAAACTTCGAACATAGCCAAAAAGCACGCACGTGCTGTGAAAGATGAATTTGTAAGTACATTTGTATACTTTGAAAATGATAAGCTTGTACTCCCTCCTCTCACGCGTATCTTCGCTGAGCTCCAATATATATGACTGTAGCTATAAGTATATAAAAAAAAAAACCCTCGAAAAAAACGTTATCAGCATTTTCAGAATTGGCTAATCACAAAGTAGTGTTTTGTTTTTAATATGTGATGTTCTAACTGAACCACAAACCATCAAAGTGAAAACGTTTTGTGGCATATATCCTGTATGAGTGTGCACTACGCATGTCCATAAACCACAATGCCAAAAATGACAATGCAGGAAAAACAAGATTTATCGAAAGTAACATTAATTATGACGAATATTTGGCCAACCTACATTAACTCCTGGCACTGGTCATTACAAAAGATGACCTTTTCCATGGTTAAAACGAAGAGTCGTAACACTGACCTACATAGATAAAACCACGAGTCAAATATAGCGTTATATATATATATATATACACGTATTAACAAGAACACTAGTTTGTCAGTCGAACGAGCGAAGCACGTGCACGCTCTTCGTTGTAGTACGATGGCCTCTGTGACGTCAGAGGATTGTTATTCCAGCTATCTAGAGGGGTGGGTCGAGCTGACGTGTTATTATCCATTCAGTACGTGTTGGAATAACGTATGATAAAATAAACAAGCTACCAGTGCTGACGACGTAAGGTTGCGCGAGAAATAGGATCTTATAACGTACGCTACAGCATGACTAGAGTGTATTATTGCTGCGTCATTGTCAAGGTAGCCATCCAAAAACCGGATATTTAAAACACGCTGTAGCATTAATTAGAGATGAACGTACTACAATGTTGATCTCTGCCAGAAATATATATTTTTTTAATCTATGGGAAACCTCAGCACTTTATCTGTCTAACAAAGCAACAGGTTGGTTTGAATTGTTTCTTTGAAAAGTCACTTTTTTTTTCTTCTTTAATTTTCCGTCGGCTTAAAATGTGTAAATCTCCCCCTACTGGCGCTTTCGCTAGTTAAGTCCTTAGCGGGAAAATTCGCATGATCTGACCTTTTTCTTTTTTATCTGTTCTTTCAAAAACGCTCATTCATTCGTTTTCTGCTCAGTCTTCTGTCACGCAGCAAACACTAGATAAGATGACAATATTAAAACAAAAAATTATGAAATTCTTACCGAAAATCCTTTTCAAATTGTGTGATTACCTGACAAGTTTTAACTAAGCCTCGCCTTCAGTATTAAAGAATTCATAAGCTGACTATATATTATTATTTCAAGGTAAGAAAGTTATATTTCTATTAAGGGTTTTAAGAAGTTAAAATGAAAGATTTCAAGCACCAATCCAGATTTCAATAGGGGGGCAACTTTTATTGGAGGTCTAGGGGAGTTTTTCTGGATGTACTGGGTTTATTAAAGATTAAAATATTAAAATAAGTCTGTTCTCGGAGCATTTGCTCTTATTCTTTCTTAAAATTATTTAACAACCAATCAAATAACGTAAACTAAACATTAATGCCCCCTCCCCCTCCCTTGCCCTACCTAAGTGGCGCCACTGGCTTCCTTCTCTTTTTTATTCATTTTTTACCTTGAGTTTAGTTTCACATAATTTTTTGTTCCATATTTTTGTCGCCTTCCAATTTTATTCCTATCGTTCAATAATTACTTTGTTGCCTATCTGTAAGACTGCGAGCTACGCCTACATTAGTGAAGAAAGTGGGTTACTCTCTCGATTCCTTAAGCTACGAGTTTCCTTTTTATGTTTAATGAGGAAATACCAAAATACTCAAATATTGGATGCTTTCGGAATGAATGTCTTTGTTAATTCAGATATAACTAACCCTATTTTATACAATAATACTTGTTAGCTCTAACACTACATCCAGTGGCGCAGTAGTCTTAAGTATAAAGGCTTCTAACGCTAAAAACCGAGTTTCGATACCCGTAAAACATATCTGTCTGTCTGTCTATTAAAGATATTGGTCATGTTTGAAACATCTGTGGTATCATAATGTCTCTGATGACTATTGTGACCTTTTAGCGGTCTCTCTGAAACACACACAACCAAAACAGTAATTAAGAACTTTCAATGTAACTCGTAATGACTAGCATGTATACTTGTTCTTTGTTATCCTCGCTAACAGTAAGCAACCAGCGATGTGGGGGAGCCAACACTCCCACCGTACGGGACACACCTTCACGTGCCTGTACGCGGTTTACCGAAGAATTATACTCGGAATTCATTCAGTTGCATATTTTTGTCACGTGTGCTCGTTAGAAAACCCCACGTGGTACGTTATGTAGCGGCATTTCCGTGCCGACAAGTCGGACCCGCGCCTTATTCTCGAACCAGGACTAGGTCACGTTTTCTTCTTCTTTTTTTCTTTTACGTATCGCATTAGTATCTGCATGCTATTTATCGCGGCTAAACTAAATATATATATATATTTTAAGTACAAAACTCGCGTGTCCCGCGATGGTCCAGTAGTATGTTTGAGGGCTAATAACGCTGAAATTGAAGGCTCGATTCTTGTGGTGGGCGCAGCCATACATAGGCTAATGTGCAACTTTGGGCTTAGTAATAATAAAAAACAACAAATTGAATACGTGATTTATTGTTGTTTCCATTTAAGACAATACAATTTCCTGTTTTAAATATTTGGGTTTGGATATACTTGGCATGACAGCAGGTTACTTAAAACTTTAATTAAGTTGATAGAACAGCCACGTAGCGTCTGGCAGGTCTTGGGTTCGAATCCGATCAGGTGAAATACACAAATAGTTAAAAACTGCTTTACAAGAGGTTTTTGGCGGGTAACCCTTTAATTAAGTTGATAGAACAGCCACGTAGCGTCTGGCAGTCTTGGGTTCGAATCCGATCAGGTGAAACACACAAATAGTTAAAAACTGCTTTACAAGAGGTTTTTGGCGGGTAACCCTTTAATTCAGTTGATAGAATATACACACGTAATATCTGACAGGTCTTAGGTTCGAATCCGACCAGGTGAAACACACAAAACCTAGATTACCCCAGCTTTAAAAATATTTTCATCGACACTTTCAGTGGCGACTAACCATTACTCAACACCTAGATTACCCCAGCTTTAAAAATATTTTCATCGACACTTTCAGTGGCAACTAACCATTACTCAACACCTAGATTACCCCAGCTTTAATAATATTTTCATCGACACTTTCAGTGGCAACTAACCATTACTCAACACCTAGATTACCCCAGCTTTAAAAATATTTTCATCGACACTTTCAGTGATGGCTAACTATTACATATATACAATTCTTAACAGAGCCTTCAATCAACATTTGTTTGAAACGACGTCATTTAATACTCTTTAATCCGGGTAATAATTGTACTTATTTGTTATTGGTTGATAACGTTCCTCGGTGGGACAGCGGCGAGTTTACGGAATTACAATGCTAAAATCCCGGGTTTGATTCCCCGTGTTGGTCGCAGTAGATAGCCGAATGTGGCTTTGCTCATAAATAAACAAACAAACTAGTTAGTAATTTCAATCGCGAATCTAACCAAGTTCTTGTATTATATAAGGATGGATAGTTTCAACTTGATGGGACACAGGGGGTTAAGAGGCCACTCTAGTGACTGCTAAGGTTCAGACATAACCATCTTTAATTTCACAAGGCTGACCAGAGGGAGGGAAATGCGTCGTTTATTTCATTATTGTTGAAAATTCAGCTAACCCTAAATTTGTGATGGCGCATGCAGCGCTATAACTTACAAAATGTCACTCGTCCACGTTACGCTCTTTTCGTCTTTGTTATTTATATACACTCGGAATTTCATTGAAAAATTAATGACGTTACGTACAGAAAGAAAAGCCAAGTGTTGTAAATTTAAGAATGATCTAAGAATCTTCACGTGCGCAATTTTTAAGGAAGGATTTTATTTGTTGTCAAGTGCCCCCAAGTGGCTCATTGGGTTATAAAGCTAAATACCGGGTTTCTATAGCTGTGTAGTTTTTGTGCATAAAAATCAAACAAACAAATTATTTCTTTTTTAAGCACAAAGCTACATATTGGGCTATCTATGCTGTGCCCACAACGGATATTGAAAAACGGTCTTCAGGAGAGGATGATGAATTATTTGGGCGGAATGTGACTACAGTGTGAAATTCTAGTATATCAGCCCGAGTCCGTGTAAACGACACTACTTTGTCATGTATAAAGTGTGTTTGTTTTGAATTTCTCGCGGAGCTACACTAGGGCTATCTGCGCTAGCCGTCCCTAATTTAGGGAAGGCAGTTAGTAATCACCACTTGGGCTACTATTTTACCAACGAATAGTGGGATTGACTGAAACTTATAACGATCTCACGGCTGAAAGGTTTGGTGGGAGGGGGATTCGAACCCGCGACCCTAACATTGCGAGTCGAGCGTTCTAACCACCTGGCCATGTATGAAGATTGGCATAGTTTATTGTATAAAAGCAGGGAACAAAACAGGGGCTCATTAGTCAGTATTTAACTCATGCGTCTATGGGCACTTATAATGTTATTATTGCTTTCAGGATTATAAACGGATATATATATATATGTAGCAAATTCCTTTTTAAAGAGAGTGTACAAATAATAAACTTTTGTTATTTTTTAAACAAAAATATTACTTTTTTTTGCTCCTATAATAAAATTGCCACCAGGATGGTTAACTCAGTTTAATGCACTACCTCAGGGTGATTAATTGACTGGTTTAGTTTTATGCACTGCCACCAGGGTGGTTATTTGATTTGATTTGTTTGAAGTTAAGCACAAATCTACCCAATGGGCTATCCGTGCTGTGGCCCCCACGTGTATCGAAACCCGGTTTCTAGCGTTGTAAGTCCGCAGACATACCGTGCCACTGGGGGAAGGGTTTCTATTTATTGTTAAAATGAAAAATTATTAATATTTTACATCTTCGTGCCCCTCTGAAGACCCTCCCTCCACGAATCCTTTGGGATCGAGACCCACAGTTGGGGGAGCTCCGACTCAAAAAGTTCATCACTGTAATTGATACGTCTGCCTCTCTTCCTGTGGGTCAGCAGTAAGTTTACGGACTTACAATGCTAAAATCCAAGGTTCGATTCCGTGCGACAGATAGAGCTCAAATAGCCCATTGTGCTTTAAAAAACTCTTCCAGGGGTATAGCAGTAAGCCTCAGGGCTTATGACGCAAAAAATTGGGTTTCGATAACCATAGTTAGCAGGGCACAAATATGCCATTATGTAGCTTTGCGCTTAACAGCAAGTATATGTGCTAAAACAACAATTATAACAAAAATGCTATGCCTGCCATCTATTATTAAAAAAATGTGTTAAGAAAAACACACACAAAAAAAACTTAACGTGTACTTTTTTTTCTAGGTCCGCGAGAAGTTTCAGGACGCAAGTTTCGACGTAGACTACATGAGACAAGAATGGTTACCCGAAGTTCCTCGCGCTACATTTAATCATTTCAAGTCCATGAACGTAAGTAAGCACGAAAACCTTTCGTGCACTTTCAGAAAACTCGAATTAACTCATTATTTCTAAAATATTAAAGGACATTTTCTTAGAAAGAAAGAAATGAAAATTCTGTAAATTTACTGATAATATATATATATACGTTATCTGTTTTTTTCTTATTCCTACGAGACATTTTTCGTATCTAATAGTTATCTCGGTGGTTCAACGGTAAGTTTACGGCTTATAGTCCATCGTGTAGCTTTGCACTTGACAAAACAACAAAAAAAAAACACAGAGACCTCTAACGTAGAGAAAAAGAAATAAAAACAAATAAAAAAATAATAAATAAATAAAATAAATAAATAAAATGATAAATAATAATAAAATAATAAATAAATAAAAAATAAAAAAAACGATGTATGAGCTTCTTTTTGAATGCTTTTGTAGGAAGTTTCTTACATTCTGACTTTGGACACCAAGGTCACGTTGTTAGATGGGAAAACTACAATTCATTGTTATCGTATATCCACTAAAAGTTGTAAATATTGTGCATATACTAAGGGACCATTAAAGATATTATATTAAAAATGTAATAACGAATACAGTTTTTTACAGTGACTGTAAATTTAAATACCGAATAATTCGATCACAGTAAACTTTTAGGCCCTAGCTAAAAAAGTACATAGTTAAAGATATTTGATTATTTCAAACATTTTTGTAAGGCTACACAAGGCTATCCGCACAAAAATGCCCCTGAACTGACAGGCTAGGAAAGACAACTAGTTAACAGCACCCACTGCCAACTCTTGCGCTACTCCTATCTCATCAAATAGTGAGACTTAGCAGTTTCAGTTATAATGCACTTGCGTTGACCCAAAAGTGCGGAGTACGTTTTTGTGGCAACAGGTCACAAACAGTAAACACTCTGATTCACATTTCAGGCACACTAATTAGGCCTAGTCTGATATTTGTGATAAATTACTCTGATGTTCGCTATACGATCATTACATTTAAAAAAAATATTAGTCAGTCATGTAAATAACAAAACAACCGAACCTATTTTACTTAATAACTTATTGTATTTCATCTATTGCACGTTATAAAGGGTGTTTTTTTTATAGTGTTAATAATTGATTGAGCATTTTTCTTTTAAGTTTTCTTATTTTGATCGCTTGGTGCTTCAATGGTAAGCCTCGGAGTTAAAATTCAAAGTTCAGTCCCCACAGTAGACACATCGCAAAAAAACCCGTTAAAATAAACAAACATTTCTTTTTTATTTTTGATCTTGAAAAAAAAAACAAAAAACTCCAGTGCTTTATTATTGTTATTTTATTCTGCAGGCTAGTGAAGCATATAAAAAGTCATACGAATATATGCAGTTCTACGCAGTTGGGATTGAGGAGATGAAGTTTGACCAAATTCTTTACCCAGAAAGTGATGGCGGGTTCAAAGACGAGTTCCAGAATCTTCAGAATCATGCTCGACCTGTTCTTTGTAGACTTCATTTAGGAATCATTGTCATGAAGATCAAACAGAACCCGGATGTCATGAGGAAGGTAATGGAGGAAGAGTACAGAGATATCGAACAAGAAAGCAAAAGAAATTTACGTGATTTTTTAATATTAAGAGATTATGTAAAAACTATTACATATATATGGGAACTGTTTACATACTTGCTTGAAAATCAACCATCATTAGCAACATAAGGAATTTCTAGTTGTTACTCAAAACGATATTTATTACAAACTGTAAATACATTCTGTTCAATCGCTATAAAAAATCCACCATCATGGCGTAAAAGAATGTCATCTAGATAAAATACAATTCCGCGAGAAACAAAAAAAATCCTAAAATTTAAGTTATTTATTTATAAATATTCATTCATTAATAAATGTGACACCAGGTGGCTATAATCAAACACTCATACAATACAGCTGGTATTCCAACTATTGCATTGCAATTGATACCTCTGGAGCAAAGGGTTAAATCCCTGGTTACTGCTATTAGGGCACGTTTGAAGCATTCAAAATACTACATTCCTCCTCTCTCACAAACAAGGCCTGTTTCAAGCCTATCTGTGATATCCATGCTCCCTGGGTGGAATCCATTATTTTATTGCACGCAAAGTGAGTGCTTTTACGAGCTGAACTTAGGGATTAACCCTAACATTACACACAGTTACCATAATACTAACGAAGGTTGAACCATTCACCCTACTTGCCTGCCACCTGGATGTTATTTATTCAACTTATCACAATTTTTTTTTTTTACGTCAACGTGTTGTTTATGTCATTTGGTTACGATGTTTTTTATTTATATTAACTTATTTCATTATTTATTTCCACATTAGTGGAACGCTTCAGTATTATTTGTGCTGTTTATTTACATATGAACTTTATTTAGTCATAGTAATTTTAATTGCTAATTTTGTAAAGCAAGTGATTTATTTGTTTGTTTACCTACTAAAATTTCAGCGAATCGAAACTTGCAAAAAAAGACACAGTTGAATAGAAGTGGTTAGAAAAATATCGATAAGATGAACTATTCATAACCATATAAACTAGTTGGTGCACGTGTGTGTGTATCGGAATAGTTGTATGATGAATATGATTATTTAGACGATTATTTTCAGGGTTCACTTTTGATATTTATTTATTTATTTATTATATATTTTTTTACAACTATTCAATCTTGCTACCTAGGCTAAAACTCATCCTTTGTGAGAGAAGTGAGGATGACGCTAACTTGGCTATTTACAAACAGTTGTGTAAAATAACTGTCTAATTAGTAAAAATTAAAAAGTTATTTAAACGTTAAATATATAATGAAGACGTTAATGTAGGATATTTTTTTTGTTCAGGGTTAACTCTTGATGTTATTATTATTTTTTTACACTTACTCATTACCGGTGCTAAGGCTAATAGTAACTTTCGTGGAAGGTGACGTTAGCTTAACTGTTTACTGAGTGTAATAACGGTTGTATAAAATAACTGTCTAGTTTGTAAGGTTATTCTGAAGAACGTGCACTCCCTCCCCCTCTACCGCTCGAAAGACTGTAATTTAACCCATCTGATGCATATTATTTTATGTGATTTTTTTTACCTGTTGGTGTTTATGTTCAATTGATTTAATTTATTGTTCGAATATGCCGTCCTAAAGTGTGATTGAAATAGAACTTTTACGATTTTTTTAAAAAGAAAAACTGTGTTATTTAAAGGATGAATGGTAGAAATGCTTTAATCTAGTTATTATTACTCGTATTCGAAATTCCTAGGGGGTGTTTTGTTTTGTAAGTTATTTATAAATATTGTTTAATATATTTATTTTGCTTAAATCCAAATCATAATGTTCAATCAACTTGCATGTTAATGTATTTTGTCACCGCCAGAGGGATTCGGAAGACAGGTAACAATACGATCACCGAATAATAACTTTTAACGACACATTACTATTTGCAAGATTTGCTGATATATATTTCCCCCCTATTTCTTCCAAAAGAAACGAATCATATTGTTTGAATCTTATTTTCTTTCTATGCTCTCTTTAGAACTAGAAAGTTCCAAATAATTCTACTTCTCATTTGTAACTCAGAGAAATGTCGGTAAAAAAAAAAAAAGGTTTAATCAAGTCTTATTTCGAGCTTTAGAAGTAGTTAGGAGTATGAAATTTTAAATTGCGTGTTTTTCTATCGTGGCTCCCCCTGGAGAAGAAAATAATCTTACGATCAGTAAGGAAAACCATCTAGAAACCAGCTTCTACTGAAAATATTACTTTGAACGTTTAGTTTAAATAATAGATAAATATACAGTCATATAAAATACATATCTAACCCTAAATAAAGCATTTATTTTTACTTATTCGGTCATTAATAAATGGTAAATGTTACTTATTAAATATAAAAATAGTTGTCTACTTATTCAAAATAGGTGCGTGTCACAGACTTTAACTAAGAGGTCTGGTATATTTTCAAAATGACGCAGAGAATCATATTAACGACAATACTGTAATCAGAGGGTTGAAATAAGAAAACACTAATGCAATAAATTATTAGTTACGTGAATTTGTTAGTAATTTAACATTTTTGATCATAAACGTTTTTGTTTTGCGCATCAGTAAATTTACGTTTTTTTTATTAATGGGCACCGAGGGTTAAAGGGCCTTTCAGTTATTTCCAAAGAAATTGACAACATCATGCACTATTCTCGAAACACGTGTTAACCACGTGTACTGACATTTAACTTAAACCTTTCAGCAAATCTTGCAGAACAGCATAATTTTCTTGGTACGCTTGAATAACGCTGAGAACCCCCATAATCCTGGGGAGGGGGTAGATATTTGTTAAAACTTAACGGGTAAACTACAAAAATAAAGCAAAATTTTTATTACGTTTTAAAATTACATTGCTGGTTATTAAGTTCTTACTTGAGAAATTAATTTGAAAGTTAAAAAGTTTGTTTGTATCAAACGTTGTCAATAAACTTACCAACGGATCCATCAGCTTTCGCCCCCCACCCCCCAGTGGCACAGCGGTATGTCTGCGGACTTAAAGCGCTAGAAACCGGATTTTGATACCTGTGGTCACCAACGTCCTGTTTATATATGGTACATAGAGAGGGAGAGATCTGTGTAAGACCATTGTCACCATCGTCCTGTTTGGATATGGTACATAGAGAGATCTGTGGAAGACCATGGGTACCATATCCAAACAGAACGTTGGTGACCATGGTCTTCCACAGATCTCTCTATGTACCATATCCAAACAGAACGTTGGTGATTAGAGAGATCTGTGGAAGACCATGGTCACCAACGTTCTGTTTGGATATGGTACTTAGAGAGATCTGTGGAAGACCATGGTCACCAAAGTTCTGTTTGGATATGGTACATAGAGAGATCTGTGGAAGACCATGGTCACCAACGTCTAGTTTGGATGTGGTACATAGAGAGATCTGTAGAAGACCATGGTCACCAACGTTCTGTTTGGATATGGTACATAGAGAGATCTGTAGAAGACCATGGTCACCAACGTGCTGTTTGGATATGGTACTTAGAGAGAGTAGTAGTAGTAGTCCATAAACTTATCGCTGACCCACTGGGGGACTTTATTTAAGCCCCAAATTGCTTGTGTGTCTATGACCTCTGTTGGCCCCTAATATCATGTAAGCTAATGTGTAAACAAAAATCACATCGATATTACAATTTTTCCCACTAATTACTGCTCGCCCCCCCCTGCGTATTTAAAATAAGTTATTTAATTCAGTTACTCTGGTTAATCTTTTTCTATGTAATGAGTGTTGTGAAC